AAACTGTGGCCCAAGAATGCATCCATTTCTGGAATATCAATAAAATGTTTTCCAGAGAATGTGACTCATTTTATTTTATTTTGTTAATACACTACAGAACATTAACATGGATCTCAGCATGAGTTTTTATGAGAACAGGAGACAGTGTGCAGGGCGTGTTCAATGACAGGCATTTGTGATTAATATGAGAGTTTCTTCAATTGAATCTCAAAACTTCAGTTCTGTCACATAGACTATATTAAACAACAACAGCAAAAGAAGCCTTTCCATACAAAGAACTTACAATTGTCATGGATGTCATGAGATTCTTCGCTTCATTTTCCCCTTTAAAAATTCTCTTTTCTTTTTCTTTTTTTCCTTCCCCTGACCCAAAACCATTTTATTAGGAGCTATTTCAGACATCATATCATTCATAGTTTAATAATACCATTTTCTTTATTTTTGTAATCTTTATTTTGTTACTAGAATTTCTATTACCAGCTTTTAAAGTGAGATTTGCTTTATAGGCCATATACCAAAACATGCTTTCATTTATGTATTTAACTCTTCTCCATTTTTATTGTTGTTATGTATGCTCATATGCTGGCTTCTGAAACATAATGTAGGTAAGCAATTAATACCTTTCTGCAATTTTTTTTCAATGCAGAGAATAAGAAAAATTTTCATCAAGTAATTAATATAGTAGAGATAGAAAATGATATATTTTACAGTGTACAGGAGATATAATATGATTAATAGCATCATAATTGCAATGTAATTTACTCAGAAGTATTTGCCAGGATATGAGTTTTTAAATGAAAAATCAAGTTAACTGTATTTTAAAGGTTTATATCCTTATTTTTGCCTGTAGTAAAGATTCAATTGTAAAGCTCAGATAGTTTGCTTTATAGTCACAGTGGTAGAAATAGTGGGATAAATTTATTTTGCATGAATAATGATTTCTATTTAAATGAAAGAATGATGACATTTCTGACATGAAATTACCCATGTCCACTAAAATTTAATCTATGTAGATCAACCAGCTAAGAGGCCTCGACTTTATTTTAAAAATCCTTTAGCTTTAGATTTCTCTTTCAGTTAATCTTTTAGAACTACAAATACAATAGAAACTTTGTGCTTATTAATGTTATATTTATAGGCCAAAACCAAATATGAGGATATATTTCTTTATGAAGTTCTTATGAATTTTATTTTCTTGGTATTTTTGAACAAACACCAGAACTATTCAATGGCACCTGAAGTATGATACTACTCAGTTTTAGAGTTTTCTTATAGTTCAAATAAAGGCTTAAGAAAATGAATTCTGAGTTTTCACTTCTTTCTTTAGGGGAAATTTCAGACTTTTAGTAATCTAGCACAGAAAAGATTGTGGAGTTATAAGATTCTTTATTGTATCTGGCTGACAGTCCATGTACATGTGGTAGAAGCATGTGCAAGGAACTTCAGATTGGGAACCTGAAGGTGATAGCATTGAGACCCTGCAGTGGTGCAATGGCAGTTCAGTCATCTGCGGATCCGAGTCTAGTCCCGGTGCCCTGAAGAGAGTAGTCTTACTTTTCAACGCGTGAATTATGTTAAATGATATTTTTCTCTCTATTATCTAACTCAATGAAAAATTATGGGAATAAAATTCATTTATAAACGTGAGTTTCAAAAGGCTTTAAAAGGCAAAATTAATTTAGCATATACAACTATTGTTAGGCACTGTTAAGTGAATTCTGACTCAAAGCAACCTCATGTACAACAGAGTGGAACACTGCCTGTTCCTACACCATCCTCACAATTGTTATGTTTGGGCCCAGTGTTGGGTTGAGCCCATGGTTGGAGCCACTGGGTCTATCCCTCTTGTCGAGGGTCTCCTTCGGTTTTGCTGCCCTTCTACTTTACCAAGCATTTGCCTTTTCTAGGAGCTGGTCTCTCCTGATAACCAAATATGAGAGAAGGAGTCTTGCCATTCTTGCTTCTAAGGGGCATTCTGGATATACTTCTGGCTGTAAGAGCCCTGGTGGTGTGTGTGTGCGTGTGTGTGTGTGTGTGTGTGTGTGTGTGTGTGTGTGTGTTATGCAACTATGAATTTGGGTAATTAAGACAACAACCCCAATGGATATCTGAAGACATTTCTTCTCAATTTCAGTTGTGCCTCATCAGCATATTAATGCCCAGAAAGATACGCAGTCTGAACATAGAAGGAGTTTGATTCTGATGATCACATTTACTGGGGCAGGGGACACTGTGTAGTTTAGCAGTGATACTTTGTCCATTTCTTCAGTCCACTAGGCAGAGAAATTCCTTCTGTACCTCTAAGGATAGATACTAATTAGCATGAGGATATCATTTGCTAAACTCTTGTCATGGGTTGATTACAAATACCAAAGCCATTTGATTGAGAAACCCTTACTCTAATTAAAAAAAAAAAATCATTGAATGATTCCTATATTCTAGGAGTAATACTGATTAGTTTGCACTTATTGTAATTTTCAAAGCAACCTGTGTGAAAAGCTTTGCACACCAGTTCTTTCATGGACATAGAAGTATTCTATTTTCTCACCTTCCTTAAAATGAAATATAATCATGTGACTTGTTTGGGGCATCAGCACTGGGCTAGATGTGTCATTTCTGGGTAAAAGCTCTAAGAGTGGGTTTGTGATTTACCATCCCTTATCCACCCCATGCCAAAATAAACTATTTATTGAGTTGGTAACTCCATGTGTTACTGAGGAGAATTGCTCCCCATGGTTTTCTTAGGCATAATCTTTGTACAGAAATTCATTGCCAAACCTATAGAATGGGTTTGAACTTCCAGCTTCGAGTTACTAGTTGAATACAAACATATACTCTGTTATTCCTTTTTGGCACTTTTGGAAGAATTCTGAGTGTCAGGACTTTGAGATACAAAACATCAAAACCAACAAAACCAGAAAGTATTCCTAAATGCTGATAGCTGCTGTTCCAGTTGGAATTGGAGATGAAGAGCTGCAAGGGATCCTTGTCTCCATTTTAATCAGGTCTTCGATTGTGGAACTGCACCACTCTTCCAACTCTTTATGCTCGATGCTTTTAACTTTTAGAAGAACAATTTAATGTTGTAAAACTAGAAAGTAATTACATTTGGCAATCAAACCTCAAAAGAATGCATCTATTGTGAATTCTGTGAAGGTTTACAGAGAAAATAATCAGTTTTACATTAAAAAATCATACATGTTGTTTTATCTCATTGATTGTAATCCCCTCAATGTTTCATAATTTATTTCATATTCTCCTTCTTTCCTAACCTTTCTGAGAGTTGTCCCTATGTAAATGCTGTCCCTTTGATCTCAAGTGGTTGATTCTCCTAAGGTGTTTATGTTATTGTTGTTGGATGATGTTGAGTCAGGCTCCCATCAGAGGGACCCTGGGGACAGCAGAAGGAAACACTGCCCAACCCTGTGCCTCTCACACGTGTTCTTAGGCTGGAGCCTATTGCTGCAGCCACGTTGTCACTCCATGTCCTTGAGACCCTTCCCTGTTTCCAGACCCCTCTACTTTATCACGCATGATGTCCTTCTCCAGGGACTGTCTCTCATGACAACGTGTCCAAAATACTTGAGGCAAAGGGAGTCTCAGCATTCTTGCCTCTATGGAGCAGTCTGGCCATACTTCTTCCAAGAGAAATTTGTTTGTTCTTTTAGCAGTCCATGATACTTTCAATGTTCATTCCAGAACCATGATTCAAATGCATCAATTCTCTTTGCTTTTCCTTTTTGTGCCCAACTCTCACATGCATATGAAACAATTAAAAATATTACAGCATGGGTCAGCAAAGTAGCATCCTTGTTTTTGGGGACTTTAAGAAGGTCTCTTGAAGCAGACTTATCCATTCCAATGTGTCCTTTGATCTCCTGGCTACTGGTTACATGAGTATTGATTGTGAATTCAAGCAAGATGAAATCTTTAATAACGTCAATCTTTTCTCTATATCTCATTAGTGGTCATACTTCCCTACTATTATCATTCCCCTTATAGATTTCTCTATTGTTTGGCTGTAATTTGAGCCAGAGGGGTGAGTTTAGTTCCAGACATTTAAGTAAAACTAATTTTATCAATTATGCTATGTTAATACCACTGATAATTGTTGTCAAGCTTTCTATCCCCATAAACAAAGATCCTGAACTCTTGGCAAGCACTTGTTTTCACTTTTGATAGTGAAAAACATGAGACAGCAAGGGAAATATGAAGATAATCAAAAGAATGAAAAGATGGAGTAACCCCTGCGTTCAAAATATTCTTGTTTCAACTTCCAACAGTATGAACAAAACTCAAAATTAGTAAGAATGAATGAGATACACAATTCCCGCATCACTCACCTTCCTCAAGCACTGTTTATTTTAGATTTTACAATTAAACAGAGCAGGGCCTTTGGTTGTTCAGATAAATAAAGTGTCTTTATGTTGCACCTATCCTCCATATAGTCATTCAAAATGTTTTAAAAGTGAATGATTCCCTCAGACACTCAAATAAAGTGAGGCAAGAGTGATTTGTGGCAATAGAGAAGTGGGTGGGATTGAATAAATATCAGGCACTTCTTTTTATCACACTGTGGTAGTGTGTACCATGTAGTGGTGCTGGAAGCTATGCCACAAGTCCTCCTAAAGCAGGTGAGTGGTGGAAAGGTTTCCAGGGAATTTCCAGGCAAAAACAAATGAAAAAGTAAGACCTGATGACCTACTTCCAAAAAATCAGCCAGTGACAATCTTATGGACAATAAACATTGTTGGATATAGTACTAGAAGATGAGCCGCTATAGCGAAAAGCGCTCAAAACATACAATGGCTCATGGGCCCAGCCCTACCAATGATTGTGACGATGATGCAGGAGTGGGCAATTTGTTGTGCTGTAAAGTGAGGTTCTAATGAGTTAGAGCCAACACACCAGAAACTAATAATATAGAAAAGCCTATGATGTTGCTTTATCTAAGGCATTGGTTTTAAGTGAACACGTATACAAAGAAGAAGATACTGGCTTTAGATTTAAAAAACTGCATGAATTTGCATGTCACCCTTGCACAGGGGCCAGGCTAATCTTCTCTGTTTGCTTCCAATTGTAGTACATGCACTGCTGAAGCGAGCACACTTGGCTTGAGATTTTATTGACCACTTAGCAATTTTAAAGTAGCATACTTCTTGAAAAAAGTGCCTGTTTAATAACAAGTTATTTTAACTTTGTGTGTGCGTGTGTTTTAAGGAATAAAAATTAAGTATATGCAAAAGTAAAGTGTTGGACTACCTTTCAAATTCAAGATTTCTATTACTAAAGTAGATTTTAGAAACAATAATTTCATCATGCTTTGAAATATTAAAAAATCCACATGAAAATGGCTTCTTCTTATTGAGGGGAAGTCATCGTAATCTAAAGCAGCAGAACTTTCCCACTTGGCGTGAGGCTGAGGGAAGTGGCGTGGTGTCTGTAGCAAGGGCAGTTAGCAGTGGTAGTGAGTGATGGCTGTGCTTAGGCAGACTGCTGATGCAGGAAGACAAAACTGGAAAGATATCAAGCAGGCTGATTTAGGGCTCAGAGACAGTGGGGAGCTGCGAGATTGATAGCCCAGAAAGGAATCTTTTGGTAGAGGTCCATGGCCCGCATCACAGCTTTTGGGATTGATAGCATACCGTGCTATCAATCTTAGCACTGTAAATGGGACCACTATTCTCTATGAAAAATGGGTCATATTAAATACCCTGACATTGACTAGATTGAGAACTGCAGAATGACTAAGGAAGAATACATGTTTGCAGAGATAATGCTGTACCATTTCTTTTTATAGTTTGTTGAAGAAGGGGGAATAAAGGCGGATTCTAGTCCAAACATATCTTAAAGGAGCAATCGTGTTGATTGTATTGTTATTTCAAAATTGAAATTGAAACTGATGAGCGTATAGATAGCACTGATTGAGATCCTATAGTCTTTGAAATGATGCGAGCGGTAGAATTATAATCAATCAATAATAACTTAATAAGATGAGGGAAAACGTACATATGGCTCGGTACTGTTAGAGAGGAATGACTAAATTTCGATTCCTGTCTTTAATGAGATGTAAGGTTTTGAAAAATGAGTGCAAATGTAATTATGCAAAAAATATGGAACATTGCTCCCATAGGTCTAGAGACTATTTTAGTGCATGCTGTAATACCTATTCTCATGAGACAATGAAGCCCTCCCGGTGCAGGGGTTAAGTGCTCAACTGCTTACGGAAAGGCTGGCGGTTTCACCCCAGCCACTCTGAGAGAAAGATGGGGCAGTCTACTTCCGTGAGAAATCCTGAATGCCATTCGACCTATCTTCTTCAACTGGCAGTTCTACTCTGTCCTATAGAGCCACTGTGAGTACGAATTAGAATTAACAATGTGTTAAAAATCATTGACATGGTTCCTGGATGGTGCCAGCAATTTGTGCTTGTCTTGCTAAAGACTGGTAGTTCAGACCCTTTCAGTAGCAATGGGGGAGGAAGACCTGGCAATCTAATCTACTTCTATGCAGATTACAGCCAAGAAAATGTCACGACATTTCTCCTCAGTAACACGTGCAGTTGCCATGAGTCAGATTGACTTGACGATCACAGATTTAGAGTTTATCATGCTCACATCAGTCAGTCTGTTGAGGCAAATGGCTCAGGTGGAAGTTGAGAAACTAACTTTTCTCTCTTTTGTTTCCCCCGTTCAAAACGAAGCTTTCATCTATCTGTCTTCTATTTTCAATGGGTTTAAAACTGCTTTTTAGCATTACATTTCATGTTATTGGCTCATACCAACATTAAATCTGAAGATAACTTGACCTTTTTACGTACTTCTTAAAAAAAAGAAAAGATTCACTTGTTGAGAATGCACACGGAGAAAGCATAGCACTCCCGCCATTTCTGCAAGGACCGTTCAGTGACATCAAATGTCTTCGGGCTGTGCAGCCATCCTGAGCCTCCTTTTCTGAGTTGCTCCTCCTCTATTAGCGTACAGTCACTGCTCCAGAGTTTCCCAACCAGTCAGCTAAGTTGCGGGGATCAGTTTGATCTCACATACAGAGATCCTCAAAAAACACAATGCTCAAGGCAGACGTTCCTTACTAGTTAAGTTAAACCACTATTTCATCTTTAGAAGATTGCAGGGGACATTTCTGTTCTAAGGCTTGAAAGAGCATCTCAGAGTAATAGGTTCAGAGAATCATCCACCTTCCATAGCTCCAGAAGGACGGGACAACCAGAAGTATTTATAACTCTCATCTGCATTTTTAATTTAGTCAGGATTCTTTAATAATATTGTTGATCAAAGTTTTCTGCGATAATAGGCAGGCACCATTCAGTCCTTCTAGTCTTAGGGCAAAGGAGGTAGTTGTTTATGGGGGTAATGAACTACACATTTCATTGATGCTTCTTGCCTGACTTCCATCTTTCCACATTGCTCTAGAGCAGTGGTGCTCAAACTTCCTAATGCTGCGACCCTTGAATACAATTCCTCATGTGGTGGTGACCCCCGAACCATAAAATTATTTTCATTGCTATTTCATAATTGTAATTTTGCTACTGTTATGAATCGTAATGTAAATATCTGATATGCAGGATGTATTTTATTTATTTTTTTAATCATTTTATTAGGGGTTCATGCAGCTCTTATCACAATCCATACACACATCAATTGTGTAAAGCTCATTTGTACATTCATTGCCCTCATCATTCTCAAAACATTTCCTCTCCACTTAAGACCCCGGCATTAGGTCCTTATTTTTCCCCTCCCCACTACTTTCCCCTCCCTCATGAGCCCTTGATAATTTATAAATTGGTATTTTGTCATATCTTGCCCTGTCTGACATTTCCCTTCACCCACTTTTCAGTTGTCCGTCCCCTAGGGAGGAGGTCACATATAGTTCCTTGTAATCGGTTCCCTCCTTCCTACCCACTCTCCCTCTACCCTCCCAGTATCGCCACTCACACCACTGATCCTATAGGGATCACCCACTCTGGATTCCCTGTATTTCCAGTTCCTATCTGCACCAGTGTACATCCTCTGGTCTGGCCAGACTTGCAAGGCAGAATTCGTGTCATGATAGTGGGAGTGGGGAGGAAACATTTAGGAACTAGAGGAAAGTTGTATTTTTCATCGTTGTTACATCACACCCTGACTGGCTCATCTCCTCCCTGAGACCCTCTGCAAGGGGATCTCCAGTGGCCTACTCATGGGCTTTGGGTCTCCACTCAGCACTCCCCCCATCATTCACTATGGTAAGATTTTTTTGTTCTGATGATGCCTTATACCTGATCCCTTCGACACCTCATTATTACATAGGCTGGTGTGCTTCTTCCATGTGGGCTTTGTTGCTTCTGAGCTTGATGGCCACTTGATTACCTTCAAGCCTTTAAGACCCCAGACGCTATACTTTTTGATAGCCGGGCACCATCAGCTTTCTTTGCCACATTTGCTTATTCACCCACTTTGTCTTCAGAGGTTGTGTTGGGAAGGTGAGTAGCAGGATGTATTTTAATTGTTACAAAATGAATATAATTAAACATAAAGTATGGTGGTTAATCACAAAACAATACATAATTATATAATGTGAAATATTTATGTGTTTTCTGATGGTCTTAGGTGACCCCTGTGAAAGGGTCGTTCGACCCCCAAAGGTTGAGAACTGCTGTTCTAGAGGGATAAAGGCCAACTGTCATGTCCTTGGTGGCTGCTGGTAAGCTTGTAAGACCCTAGTCAATACTCAATGCAGAAGGAGGTAAAACAGAAGCACTAATCACGTTATTAGGCCAATTAACAGAAATGTCCCATGGGACAATGACTTCCAATACTTTAAATGCATGAAAACCAGTTCTAATTGGATACATTTCATGCTTCATCTTTAAAAATTCCATCCCGAGATAAATTAATGTGGTTGTTTGCTTACTGTGTACAATTAAAGTTAAAAATGTAACTTTTCTTTTTAGTCTTATTTTAAATGTATATAAATATAATAGTGATTTGATATCCAAATCATCGACTACTAAACTAAACTCTTCTATAACAGCAGAAATAACACATTTTCTCTTCAATTAGTTTTCAGTAACCTACTTCCCTCACATTTCCTACTAAAGCAGTGTATTTCTGAGTTTGTTTGTTTTTGTTGATTTAGTTGCTCATGAGTCCATTCCGGCTCATGATGGCTACATGTGTGCAGAGTACATGTACGCAGCTCACCAGGCTCCTTTTCCAAGGTATCTCTGGGTGGGTTAGGACATCCAATCTTTCAACTAACAGTTGAATGTTTAACACTGTCAATCACTCAGAGACGTTCATTGCCTAATGTTGCCAGTGAGTCCAGTCCAACACAAAGCGTTTCTGTGCAGCCCAGTACCATTCTCAGAGTGTTTGTATTTGTAAACTCAGGGTTGCCATCATAGCATGGTGCAGTCTCCTTGATGATCTTCCTCTTGTCCAGTGTCTCTCTACCAGGCATTATGTCCTTTTCCAGGAACTGGTCTCTCCTGATAATATATAGAAAACACTGGACACTGGGTCTCGCCATCACAGCCTCTAAGGAGCATTCTGGCTATTCACTCTCTAAGATCAATTTGCTAGTTTTTCTGCAAGTCCATGGTATTTACAATATTCTTCCCCAATACCATAATTTGAGTGAACCAAATTTCCACATGTTTGTTGTCCACACGCATATGAGGCTATTGAAAATATTATGGCTTGTCTGAGGCACAAATTTGACCTTAAATAGATCTTGTGCCGCCGATGTTCCTAATGTACTATGTCATTTGATCTCTTGATGGCTGCTTCATGATCCCTGATTGTGAATCCAAGTAAAGGAGATCCTTGACAATTGACTAATTTCTCCACTTATCATGATGCTGTCTATGTCGCCAGTTGTGGGGATTTTTATTTACTTTGAGTTGTACTCCTTATGGAAGACTACATTTATTTGTTTATTCTTCTTCTTGCCATGTTATTCACATGTCATAGGATTCAACAGTTCAGTCATTTTAAGAAGCGTTCTGTAATCATCACCACAATCAATTTTAGAACAATTTCTTTTTTCTCATAATTCTAGTTAGGTGTCCATCTCTCTACAATCTCCCCTACTATGTCCCTAGTTAAT